GCCTTGTATTTAATTGGATTCCCAAATTCATCATTTTTAACTGCAAATACCCACTTGCAATCGACAATGTTCTTATCTTTTGGCTTCGATACCAAATTCCAGGTTTTGTTCATAATAAGTGAATTTATTTCATCTGCAATAGCTTGTTTGTTCCCATTTTTCTTTATCATTTCTCGTCTTAATTTCTTCAAATGACATGAGAATTAAATAAACTATAGATTTTGTAGTCAACAGATAATCATTGTCAATCTCTATTTCATCATACGAGATAGGAGATCGTTGTTTAATCCTACCACTCCTTCTGGGTCCTATACTATCATTAGATTTCCTCTCTTTAATATCCTTAGATTTCGGTTCTACAGCTATATCTGTTTCAGGTATAATTTTACTTTTTATGGGATCTACTATTGCTTTCTCTTTCGACCTTACCATATCTGATTTCTCACTATCAGATTTATTTCTTTTACATACATCTGATTTCTCACTATCAGATTTATTTCTTTTACATACATCTGATTTCTCACTATCAGATTTATTTATCTCACCTCTCATTTCTACTGATTTTGGCATCACACTTGACGCATCAGTTTCATGTGAATCTTTTTCCGAATTCACTTCTTTCAGTACCGGTCGAAAGAAACCCTGACAATAGGCTAGTAACATTAACCAACAACAGTCGAAGATAAAAGCACTCAGTCTGTCTTGGATTCACTGTAAATATTCGCTCCAAGGCGTTTGATTTGAATAATTTGGGACATGCATCAACTGGTGAGCCTTGCTTGCGGGGTATCCATTGTTTTATTTGAGCCCATGTGAAATAGCGTGGTACTTGTGAATAGAGTAATGTTCGTGCAAAGGCACCAAAATCATGCGCACGATTACACAATTCAAAAAATTCAGTGAGTGTAGTTTTTGGTGGATTTATAGCACGATCAATCGCTGTCTCGTTCGTGAAAWATACACGCTGACCGTTTTCAAGATGGACGGCTAACTGAACAACTGCTGGATCCCGTTCATRAATYGGAAAACCAAAGATACGCCAAGCAGCTTCATTGGAGCTGATGTACCRACCAATTTGGTAGAGCGTTATTTCATCGTTTTTATTCACTGGAGGAGCATTCACATTAGTATTTTCCACTCTAAACACAGCCATGTCACTGCCTTTATGGACATACTTGCAAATGTATTTGATGCTCTTCACAGAACTGCAGAACTCAACATWAATATGAGCATTGTATGTTTTACTCAGCAGGGGCGAATATGGCACGACCMRACGATTGTCAATGTCAATGTCTGTGTTGCTGATGTTTTTAATAAATGATTGTCSATCATTATCGGGATTTCTTCAACGATATATTGGATATCCGTCGACATTTGTGATTGTATCGTAAGTGAAATCTTTAGGGAAATTTTTTGTACATTTTCCATCTGCCATGCAAGGCGATGAACGATTAAAAGTACCGCATGGGCCATAAATCATGTTTGCTGTAGCAATATCAAACAGCAATTGATCAGTAGATGGAGCGGGAATTTCTGCAGAAATTATATTATCTATTTCTTCAGGACGGATTTTGTCAATTAACYAAACCAAAATGTGGGCATGAGGTAATCCTCGCTTTTGCCACTCAACCGAATACAGCCAGCAACGTGTGGGACCGAATACATGTAATTTAGTAATAAAATTTATTAAAGACTTCAGCTTTTGCCTAAACACACGTGCTGTAATGTCATGACGATGTATTGCATTTTGGCCAGGCAACAGCAAAGATGTATTCTCTGGCCATTTTGGATTACATGTGAACGTGATAAATATACACGGTCGCCCATATTCGCGCACGAAAGTCAGAGCATCCTGTATATACTCTTGCACATGACGTGGACTGCCTACGTACGATGATGGTAGAATGACAGAATTACCAATATCGGCGGCGTCGGCGTTGTTGACAATAGCGTCTCGCAAGTGAATGTACTCTTCCGCACGTAGCTTGAGTTGATTATTTCGTAAGTATCGTAATCGTTCGCCCTCTATCTTCGCGTACATGTCGACCATGAATTGTTGACAAAGCTCTCGACATCGTAGAATGACGTTGTCCAGCCCGCGTCTAATCATCAATCTATACGCATATTAATCCTTCAAACTAACGTTCTTGTTTGTTTCGGCTCCTGTAATAATATATTCATAAATATTAATTTAAATTAATAACGTTTAATAATTTAATTGTTTTGTTAAAAGTGTAATGATCAAATTCATAATTAATGAAGTACCTGATACGGGATCTCGTT